TATGACGCAGCGTCGGACGCAAAGAGCGCGTCAAATTTCGTCGCGAAACGCGCGAGAGGGCGGAGAATTCGATGGTCGGGATGTGGGTGACCGCCGGGGCCAAGAGCGCGTCGGCATGGGGTCCGTTATTCAGGGGACCCATACAAACTACGTTCGGGATCTTCCCGCGAGGGCATATGCGAGCCTCACCTGAATTTAGATGCCCATCTTCGGCCCGAACTGCACCTCGGAAGTGCGGGCGCGGAGTGCGGTGCGGGGCTGCCCCATGAGCGAATCCGGCATGCGCCAGCCCAAAGCGCGGCTTCGACAGCCTTCGGTCATGGTTTGATCGAATGGGAAGCGCTCGATGCGGTGGGCGAGGTCGATGACGACCCGCGGACTGCGAAAACCCGGCTCGTCGTGCAAAACGACCTATAAATCGACCTCGGGATCTCTGCATGTGCGATGGCTGAAACAATCGGGTCTCGATGGTAGCGCCAAGGGTTATGCATGCCTCGGGCGTCCTAGCCGCGCCAACCCCCATCGCCGCCCCCTCCATGCATTGTGAAACACCGAATGCGCTGATGTTCCGGCCCTGATGTTCCGGTAGAGGTCTCGCGGATGTTCCGGCTTCCGGCTCTCCCGGGCCCCTCGGTCGCGTGTTCCGGTTCGCGTCCTCCGGTCGTGTTCCGGCGTGTTCCGGCGTGTTCCGGTGTTCCGGTAGATTTCCGGTCGGATTTGTCTTCTCAACTGCCCGTTCACGGCACGCTTAGTGCGCGTCATGAGACAGGGACTTCAGACCTGGGCGTCAGGCCCCTGGGGGCTGGGCATCAGGCCAGGCAAATTACGCACGGCGCCCTACCTAGGGCACAAAAACCAAATTACCCTGAGGCGAGGCACAGGTCGTCGTCAGTGCACAACAGGTGCGCCAAATTTATCTAGAGTAGTAGCAGCATCGTCGCCGCCGCCGCCGCCGCCGCCGCCGCCGCCGCCGCCGCCGCCGCCGCCGCCGCCGCCGACGCCGACGACGACGACGACGACGACGACGCGCGCGTGGGTATTCGAACCTACACCGGACAGAAAACAGCACAGGGGAGGTCAATT